TGAATAAACATTTGTTTGAATATGGCTAAAAGAACAGAGAATTTCAAACATAAAGGGGCCTTATAACAAGAAGGATAATGAGATTTAAGTAATATAGTATGTTTTATAATATATTAAATGTTAAAATAGTAGGTTGATGTAATTTTTATTAATATATAAGTAAAATATAAACTGATTAAAAAGGATGTTATATCTAGATACTATAAGACAGATAAAAAGTATAGTATTTTTATAATGCGTGACATAAAATATTGGGATGATGTACTTAAATGGAAAAATTTAGACAGTGATGACTAATATGAAGAAATTATGACTGATAAGATTGGATTGAATATAAGGGAATCTAAGCGAACAAAAATTATAAAAATAGGATGTATGCTGAACTAATGAGATGATGGTTATGAGAATAATATAAGCTGAAAAAAATGTTATATATAGAGATTATTATTATTTGTATAAATATAAAAATGCCTATACCTAATCATTTATATATTGAAAATATTCAGAATTATATTTTGGCTAAGGTTGAAGAAGGAGAATACAAATGGGAGAAGGGAAGATCAAAGAAATGTATTATTAATTAATATATTAATTATGGAATTATTAAATTTAATCATTATTGACTGTTAATTATTATTGTCCTTTTTTTCTTGTTAAAATATAAACCAAAACAACACGCTGTACACCAGGCACTGGAGATTGTTATAGTTAAAAACCAATAAAATATCTATAAAAAAAATCTGTAGAACTTATTAATTGTGTTCTTCTCTATATTATAGGAGACTCTCAACCTGGGCCCAGCAATGGAGAAAAGGCCAAACAGCTACCAAGTTTTTGGATCCCTTCGCTGACACCTGAGGCCAAGACCAAAGCCATTCCAAAACCAGTGAGCTATTTCGTCATTCCTTTTCAAGATTCACCAAACCGTCTTACAGTTTGGCTACATTATAAAGCTAAATCAGCTTAACTGCCATGGTTTCTATAAAGAACAACAAAAACTGTTAAGCTTGAATCAATATGGTTTTTATTTTGTCATTCCTTTTCAAGATTCTATTATGTACACCATAAAACTAAACTAGCTTAACTGCCATGTCTATAAATAACTATAAAACCTCTCAATCTTGGATTAATATGGTGCTGTATTCACAAAGCTTTTGTGAAACTAAAAAGTAAAGTTTTTTTTTAGTTTCAGAGTTCTTAGGAGAAGTCCTAATGTTTTAAATTTACTTAATTTACTTAATGATTTAAATTTACCTAATTCATTTACTTAACGGCTCTTCTGTTAGCCTGGTTTTTCTTTGTTCATGGCTCTTGGTTAAAAAAGCTTGTCTTGCCTTTTCCAAACTGGTCCAGTCCAGATCTATTGAACCATAAATCCCATAACTAGTCAGAATGACTGTTCGCCTAATATTTTAAAAATTTCATTCATGTTTAAATGATCCAGATATATAAAGTTCCTTATTTGCTGATTAAGGATCACCTATAGGGGGGAATAGAATGTCAGGTTACCTGGAAGATACTATTAAAATTTATTTATGATGTATGGCATGTATAGATATATATTTAAATGAACTAAATGCACTTTCTGATTTTCCAGTTGCATATCAGATCTTACAAATAAAGCATTTGAATTTTGAATATTTGAGGGCTTGCTTAAAGACAGGATTAGAATACATGTTTCCATATTTATTCTAATCTGCGTCTGTATGCCGTACCTTTGGATCACTGCTGACTCCTGGTGACTGCCTGGAGAAGTCTCTGCAGTTTCTTGGAAGGATTTCCAAAATGGTTTGCCACTGCCTCTTTCCTAAGGCTGAAGGTTGACCCAAATTCACCCAGCTAACTTTGTACCTAAGATAGGGCTAGAATTCACAGTCCCACAGTTTCTAGGATTATTTTATCTTATCCCAGTTTATCTTATTCATGTCATTTTTTCTAGGACAAGTGCGTGTACTGCCCCATGAGTAGGAATCCACTGAAGCTGAAAGATTTGATTCCAGTGCACTTCACCCTTGTAGATCCTAGTGTAGATCGCGTTGGACTAATCAACCGGCAGGACCGCTATGTGTGTGCTGTCACACGAGACATGCTTGGAAACTCTGTCCCCTGTGCTGTGCTCCGTCCATCGTGAGTAATGAGATGGGGCTGTTCTGGAGTGAGAAAAGCTATTTACCAACAGGCTATCTATCAGATGAAATCTCTAGTTGCTTCCAAGCATGGGAATCTGTCTTACATTTAATATGTAAAAGATATAATCTTTCTTCTTCTTCTTCTTCTTCAAGAGGCTCAGTTGTGACTCTGGAATGTGTGGAAAAACTTATCAAGAAGGACATGGTTGATCCAATGAATGGGGAGAAGTTGACTGACAAAGACATCATAGTTTTACAACGGGTGAGATTGACTATTAAAGCACATGTCCTGTGGGCTTCCAGAATAGGCAGTTTTAGCAGGTCCAATACATTTGAAGGGTGGAGGGAGATTTGATCTGAAATCAATCTTAACATCTTTATGTTGATCTAATTATTGGGAAGTTTCTCAGTAAGATGGCTTTCCTTTAGCCTTCTAAGCAATGACTCCTATCATTTTGTTGTAAAAGGTAACCATCCTGCAGTTCTTCAGTTGGGTTTTGAAGTAATTTCTGTATTGTGTGAAATATTGGAAACATCCTAGCGCTTCAAAGATCTGTACAGATATCATATCATATGTATGTCACTGTGATACGGGAGGTTTTAAAATAGCAAGTCTCATGAATGCATCAGTCCTGTTTTGTTAACCCACATTTAGAGCAAAGTATGATATGCAAATTTGAGGGCAGGGAACTACATACCTTGAACGCTTCTGAACATTTGCAGAAAATTTCCTCCTCCCAGGACAATCACACACCCTGAGATTAGCTATCAAGCAAAGCAGTTTGGGCTTCAATTGTAATGTTGCCCAGCCCAAGCGCTGAGCAGAACATAAACTCCCTAACCATCAAGGACAGGATAAGTGTGGTCCTTTACTTCATCATGCCATTCCTCTTCCCTTACTTGGGCTTTCTCTTTTTCCAGGGTGGCACAGGATTTGCAGGGTCAGGCGTGGAACTGGAAGCCAAGAAATCTCGGCCTGTGATGCAAGCTTAATACATTCAGGTGGAAAAGAAAGAGATGATTCTCCACCTGATGCCAACTGCCATCTGCTAGCTTAAAAGCGCTAATATTGCATATAAAGAAAGACAAAGTATACTGTAATTTTTTAAACCAGGCTTGCTTAAAAGTTTTAAAAAGAATTATTAACTTGGGGATATGTGTGATCAATAGCTTAGTTTTAGGAGTCAAGTTTTTAATTGTCAAGTTTTTAATTGTCAAGTTTTTAATTGTCAAGTTATTCTATCTTGGAAAGGAAAATACACACAATCAAAGGCTCAGTGTATCTTTTAAATTGATTACTATTTTAAAAAGTGACATGCTCTTCTGTTGAATCAACTTTTTCCCCCCCTAAAATCTTGCTGCTTCTTCTGTTGTCTAATCTATGGCACAATATCTTGAGAGGTTGGGAAATGATTTTATTAGTAATCCAAAATTTTACAATTTTAAGAGATCACAACTCCTGGCGGCCCCCCAGGTGATCAACTGTGTTTTTATACTCTTTGGCGCTTTGAATGCTGTGCTTCATCATCTCTATGACTTCATCCCGGGAAAGCCTGTTATCCTGGAGAAGGAAAGGGTACAGAGAAAGAACTACAAGCCTAGATAAGCAATATTTATCCAAGGTATTGGCTACCACTAAGATGCTTAAAAATATATTCAACTTGCATTCAACTTTTTTTTATCTATATAAAACAGACATTGGAAGTAATTTTGAATCCGAGTGGTTATTTCATTATTCCCAACAGGTCCCAGACAAGTGTTTGAAAAGAAAACAGCCGTATTTGTCTTCTTAAAAGAAGGGAAACATTTGAAGGAGCTAATCTTTGCTTTCCCTTAGAGTGTGGAACTTGCAAGGGAAGAATTGAAGTGCATTAAGAACATTACAGAAGAGATTAGATGCACTGATGAAAGGTGTGGATGTATTTAATCTCCTTCTTCCCAAATGCCTCTGGAACATGGAGATCTTCATAACATGACAAGGGCTCGCTGTGCTTTGGGGGAGACAGAGGCTGCAGAAGAACAGGAATGGATCCTAGGGGAAACCACCCAAGTATGCCAGCTACATTATTTTTTGAAGAAAGTTTAAGCAGGCCCTTCCAACAATAAATAGACAGCAATTCCTTCTGGAGTGTGCTTCTCCCACTCCCATGTAAGGGAAAACCCGCTATTGTATATCCCCCCCCCACTCCAATCACAGTTCATCATGCTTCTTTGTCAAATCTTCACCATAGTTGGTAGCCTGGCTCCCCACAAACATGTTCCAATTGTCCAAAATCTCTTGCTTGGTTATTTTATCATCCTGCGATATGGGGAGGAAGAGAAGCAGTGGGAGAAGAAATAGAAAAGCAAGGAGAGAAGGGCACAATTATAACCCAATTACATCCCAATCATTTATTTTTTAACATTCTTATATTGTGTTATTAGTGAATTATACATAAAACTTAAAAGCCACTTGTATTAATTTTTCAGGGAGAAGGAAAACTGTTTTAAAATATGAGTGCTTCCAGCTTCTTAGAACAGTTCATGCGACAATAGATCATTAGAGGAGGCAGTTGGTTTAAATATTATTAAATATTATTTTCCCTCATTTTGAGGGCTAAAGTTCTTAGTGGCACTATAGAGATTGCTCTATTCCCCCCCCCCCCGAATGATTTTTTTTAAAAAAAGATCTACAATAGTACATTCTGAGTTGCTCGCTTTCTATTTTGCTATTTCAAAACATATAGACAATTGGAGCCAAATAGTGGAAGTTGCATATCCTAGGAATTGGCAGTGTGTGACACAAAGCCACCCACAAGTCACCATCCTGAACAAAATGTCCGTGAGATCTTGACATTGTACACATACTCCTTCCTTTAAGTGGGAGAGTGTTTTGCTTTAATTTTAAGTTTGCTTTCTTTTAAGAAATTTAGCAGTAACAAAGCATACCTTGGAAACTCAGTTTTCTATTCTCATGGACAGGAGAGGAAGTTTTTCATTAGAGGACAGACATTAAAAAGATTGTTAAGAGTATGGTTGATCCTTAGTCTAATGTTCTCATTAATGACCAATATTTTTAGAAAAGCTTCCCTGAGGATGAAATTTGGGTCTTGACTGATATTGCGGAGCTGAAAATACATTTAGTGTCCTAGAAGCTGGATGTGTTTATAGCCTTGTGCCACTTAATTGAGATGAGATGGTCAAGGGCACGTTTTCAAGTATTCATTTGAAATTGCGTTAAAACTGCATTTGTGGATAGATTATATAGAGAGGTGCAGCTGCCACCCAGGGTTGCCTCGAACAGAGATGGGCTGCATATAAATTTAATAAATAAAAAGATGGATGAATAAATGAATAAATAAAGATGAGCTTCAAGTATTAAATTTTACGGTAACTGGTAGCACTGGTCAGATCCTGCCTAATATTAGTAGACAAGCCTATAATGAAAGTTTGGTGAGCTACATGCTTTTTTTCCTTCCTCCCTTTGTAGGTTAACTAAAGTAGCTTCTGCCAGAGATTTGACCTGATTGCACTAGCTTTTTGAAAGTAGAGTATAAGCACAGTTTTTGAAACAGATAAAGTGAGGAAAAAGTAAGGAAAGAATGGGCTGTTTTAAATTCTATTCCTTTCCCAAAAATAGTTTTCTTTCATAATTAAAAAATGACCTATTTCTTCATTTCATGAATTTGCATTGGACTCGGTAATAATTTCCAATTACAAGCAAACTAGGACAGAAGTCTTTAAGGAATGCATTGATACCCAGCGTGATTTGAGGGAGAATCAAAATCTTTTACTTCTACTTTCATATCCAGGTCAAGAGACCTGGAGCTAAAATTACCTAAAGTAAAATCTTCAAATCAAGTTTAATTCTTGGGGACTCACCCAATTTGGGCTCTGTCAAAAAAAAAAATGCTAGTGGGTCACACACAGTCCACATATCTCAACTCCTGCCTTCCCCTGGCATCGCAGCTCCTTCCCTATGCCCGGATTGTTCTTACCAGATCTTTGTCCGACTGAATAAGGAGATGCTTGGATTCCACTTCAGCATGATCATAATCTGTGGGCAGGATCCAGTGCCCAATTTCCTCCCGATCCATTTTCCCATCTTTGTTGATATCTCGGTGTTCCAAGAATTGTTGGCGTTCACTTGTCACCCAGCTAGGTTCTGGTTCCCCAGTTTCAGGGGCATATATGTCACCTGATCAATAAGAATAAGTGAGATACCAAAAATCCCCTTTAACCCCAGGTGCTGGACTAAAGTAGAATCTTTCCTCTAATCAAGCCAAGTCAATGAAGGAATGGGATAGGAGAGGTACTGAGTCTTCAGTATCTCCTCTCTCTGCACTCAAAAAAGGCTTGCAGCTCTGCCCCAAACCAGCCTACATCTTAATAGGGGGTAATCCATTGCCATTCAGGCAGAAATTCTTATATTCTTACCAAGATATTCATCAACTTCTACAAAGCCATCACCATTCTTATCTATGTCCTCCAGGGTTTCCTGAAAAAGTGAGAAGGGTAACTCTTAATGGTACAGAGATAGTACATCTTCCCACAAAGATTTGTCCAAAAAGATACCAAAACCTCAAGAAATAGTGCCTGTAATAAAAGGCAATTTCTGTTCCTAGATGCTTGGTAGTATATGTCTGTTGCAGGGCAAGGAAAGTCATGTCTTGGAAAATATGGGTGGGTCATAATTGCTTTCTAAGCTTGGCCCTTGATTACTCAAAGGAGCACCTACACTCTAATCAACAATGATTCTCCAGGGTCTCAGATGAGATTTTCCCCAGATTTGTCTGAATTGACAAATTCTACTTGCAAAGCAGCTACTGTAACACACAGCTGTTTCCATGTATGCTATCATCTTGGAGAAAATTGGGAAAGACTTCTCTAAGATTATAGTCAGCTTTGCATCTGGGAGAAAGGAGATGCTGAATGCAACACAGTATACTGGACTACTTAGACATTAAGGAGAAAATATTCATTTTTTACCTGAAACTCATAAACATAGTTTAGACAGCAGACAGAATATTAAGAGGGATTTTTTTTTTGTTCCTTCTTTAAAAAATATAGGGAGCATTTTAAATCAGCATCTCACTTCAGCTTTTGAGGTAGCAGTAGCCACATTTCATTCTTACTTATCATATTACAAGCATAAATCAGATTATTGCTACCTTTTCCCATCTAAAAAATGAGCTCCGGATTTTTCAGGATTCAAAAATAGGACGCTAGAATAGTGTTACATCTTCATTTGGTAATTACAAAATCCTTTACACCATCTGAAATATTTTCTAAAGAAAAAAATCTAACATTTCACAAGAGAGGTAAGGAACAGTTAAAGGAAAGGGGAGAAAGAGAATACAGTATAAATAGAAACTGCAAGGCAAGAATAGAAGTTTTAATAAAATAAACCTTGAAGAACAGCTGCTGAAGCTGGTGCAAAATTTCTTGCAGCAGTTTCAGCTCCATTCTTTTATGAGTAACCCAAGTGACATCTATGTGCTAACTAATACATTTGTTTTCCACCCAACCAATACATATAAACCATCCATCACAAAAAACAGGATTTTTTAATGGCAAAGTGTCTAAGAGGAGCTGTCACAAATATAGCTGTCATGAGCTGGGAAGATCAAGACAATCCTGTTCTGAAGCATGCAATCAGATTATTCTGATTCAGATAATTCTTGGTCTTTGATCTTTGCTTCAACTTGATAAATCCCAACCTCCTAAATTTTATAAGTCTATGTATTATTTGAAAGTCTTGGTATAATTATTTACTTGATATTTTTGGGACGTTTTGAAACAAAGTTTCTCTGATCCCTTGCCAAGAATCTAGACCAGTGTTTCTCAAACATAGTAATTTGAAGATTTGTAAAGTTCAACTCCCAGAATTCCCCAACCAGCTTGCCCACTAGGAAATCCTGGGAACTGAAATCTACGCACCTTCTGGTTGCTATAGTTGAGAAAAACTCACCTGACTAAGCATTGCTTTTTATACGGTATTTGAATTTACATGTTAAGTTGAAGATTAACCCATAATACTAGTAGATGGCATCCACTGAATAATAAATTATATATTAAAATATTTTTGCCTACCTGATACTATATAAAAACACATTGATACCCACCAAGTGAAAAAGTTGTTGATCTTTATATTAAAAGCTGCAATTTGCTTGGTTTTGGCTTAGCATGCTGGGAGTAATAGAGTTCATAAATCATGGTTTATGACTGAAATTTCATGTGAATGAGAACACTGTGGTCAAACTATGTTAAAATCAACTATAGCAAAAAAAGAGAATGTGGATCCAGATTTGGATTCTCTAAGCAACCATTTAGTGTTGCTTTTATTATATGTATAAATTCTGTTTTCAATAGAATTTCCAATTCATTTGTTGTAGGTGTAGGTGTATATAAGATTTATAACCTATGAATTTTAGTATTTTCACTTTTATTGATTTTTATAATCATTATTTTGTTGTTTTTACTGATTGTTGTACACTGCCCAGAACTGCTTCTTATGAGATGGACAACCATATAAATGTGATAAATAAATAAATGGAGATGATTCTATTTGAATTTGAAATTCTAATTCTATGCAAATACAGTTATGGGAAAGCAATTTAGGTAGGAAGTAGAAATCTCCCTTGATTAGGAAGGATCCAAACAATCTGCTGTGACATGCTATCCTGACTAAACCACAATGACTAGATTCATACAGCCTGATAAACCAGA